CTGTCGGCTGTGGGGGAAGGCGGTCTGTCGGCTCCGGGGGAAGGCGGTCTGTCGGCTGTGGGGGAAGGCGGTCTGTCGGCTCGGGGGAAGGCCCCTCTCACCCAGCACACCTGGGTTCCTGGGACACATCCAGTGGCACACTGTTTGCCCATTGGAACGTCCTTGTCTCTGCATGTCTGCTGGTCCTTCTAACTCAGAGTGAGTCTGTCTGAGGCATGCATGCACTGACACGGCCTCAGTGATGTAAGAAAGACCCCCCCCCCACTCCCAGGTGGGCTGATACCCACAGGTGGGGAACAGGGTCCCAACACACATTTTGGGGGGACACAATTCCAACCCTGATATCCCATCTTAAATTCCCTTAAATTCTTCTTTCTCAAAATGGCTCTCATGACTCTAGTGCCTTGGCCTGCCCATAGCCATTTTAGAAGCATCTGGTCCATATCTACAAAAAATGCCACTGAGGGTTAAACCAAGTGCCACGGATCTGCACAGTGGTCTGGAAAGAACGGATGTATTTACCATGGTGAGTCATCTAGTCCCGAACAGAGTGTCTATTCATTTGACCTTTGATTTCCTTCCTCAAGGTTGTGTAATCTTTGGAAGATAAGTCCTGCATGAGTTTTGTTAGATTGATACCCAAGTATATTGTTTTTTTTTTTCAGTAACTGTATTTTTAATTTTGGTGTCCCCATGTTCACTGCATAGTGGTTTTCATATTGATCTTATACCCTGCAGCCCTGGTAACTCACCTGTGACTTCTAGAAGCTCTGTGGTAGACTCTGGGGCTGTCTGCAGTGTCCTGTGCACGTCTTTCTGTGGAGTATTTAGTGGTTACTACAGCTGCTCCAGGGACACCACTTTATGTACCTGACTCAGCAGTCTCCTGATGTTATCATTTACCAGTTCAAGTGACATGCAGATACCTCACTGCCTTTCACAATCCTTCACCCTCCCCAGTTTACACCACAGTTATCTGAAAGATGTTTTCTACACAGTTAAATGACATCAGACGGCGTTACCACTTGTACTTCGAGCACAAACATCATGTGTTCGTTTCCGTCAGTGGTCTAAGGTTCTGTCCCATGTAATTCCTTCCTGTGTGAAGAACTTCCTCTGGCCGTTCTCGGGAGGTAGGTCTGCTGGTGACCGCCCTCCACTCTCCTTCCCCGAGGATGCCTTTCACTCACAAAGGGAAGCCGTACGGGCCCAGGTTGGCTGACAGTTTGTCCCTTTATCAGCACTTGAAAAACACTACTTCCCTTCGGGGCTCAGAGTTCTGATGAGAAACCTGCTGTCATTTAGACTGTTCTTCCCTACAGAAAAAGTGTCAGCAGCCCTGGTGGTGCAGCAGCTAAGCGCTCACCTGCTAACCAAAAAGTCAGCAGTCTGAACCTACCAGCTGCTTCATGGGAGAAAAATGTGCAAGTGTCTTCCCTGAAGATTGATAGCCTTGGAGAACCTGTGGGCAGTTCCACTCTGTCCTCTAGGGATGTGGGTCGGAATGGACTCCACAACAGTGGGTGTGGTTTGGGCTTTGCTTCTGTGAAGATTGACAGCCTTGGAGACCCTGTGCGCAGTT